GTTATAATCTAAAATTTAAAAGACAACATACAATTATCACAAAAATGTTCATATTTATAAAAATCATAAATGAATATAGTGATAAAAATTCATACATTTTAAACTCTCTTTCCAAAAAGAAGTTAAAATTGCTTAAATGGCATCTTATACCTGAAATATTTTTATCCTAAAATTTCAAACTCTTTAACACTTGATTATAAGCAAGCCTATAATGCTATTAGCTTATCTTTTCACTCATATCTTTCAGTTACAGGTTTTGAATCAGTATGAAAGACATTTCTAATAATGAGAAATGTTCAACAACGTTATTGACTAAGCATCTACCATAACTCAAGCCCAGTGGTCTGGCTTTGAATCTGCTTTCAAACTCCACCTTGTGTTGCTCAGAGTGGCTTCGCAGGCCATGCTCGTAGCCCTCACATGGCCTAAATGCAATGATGCCTATGCTAGAGAAGATTACATTCTACCTCTCTGATCTATTTTAGTGATATGGGAATTTATGTCAGGAATGACAATTTCTTTTTATTCTTTTTTCCCTTCTTTTTTTTTTTGAGACGAAGTCTTGCTCTGTCGCCAGGCTGGAGTGCAGGGGCACAATCTTGGCTCACTGCAACCCCCGCCTCCTGGGTTCAAGTGATTCTCATGCCTCAGCCTCCCGAGTAGCTGGGATTATAGGCATGTGTCACCACACCGAGCTAATTTTTGTATTTTTAGTAGAGACGGGCTTTCACCATGTTGGCCAGGATGGTCTTGATCTCCTGACCTCATGATCTGCCTGCCTCGGCCTCCCAAAGTGCTTGGATTACAGGCCTCGTGAGCCACTGCACCCAGCCAGGAACGACAATTTCAATATATTTACTATCTGTCCTTCATTTTATTATTATTTAGCTTCTGTTAGCTCAGTGTTAGCCAAAACATCAGAAAGAAAGAAAACTTATGAGAAGGGTATTAGCAAATGTGTGAAAAAGTCAAGTACTCCAAAAAGTATTTGGAGCTTATAATTCCTTTAAAAGTCATACTGAGGGTCACAGTTGGGAAGCCAGCATTTTGCATATGTTATGATGGTCCCATAACCATCCAAATGTTAATGGTACCCATTTTCTTCCATCCTAGAAGAGTTTTATGTTCCCAAACCATTTGCAAAAGTTGCTTAGTTATGAAAAGTCATCTAGACATATGGAACCTAAGTATGCTATCTTGTAATTTCCCATAAAATCCTTCAGGTACTTGAAGAAATTCTTCATAAACTTTGTTTCCATTTAACATTCTTTTCTCCAGATAACACATAATGTGTTATCTCTAAGCTTTCTCACAGCGACAATGCCCTAACCTCTCAATTATTTTGGTTTCTCTCTAGGATGGACTAGGATTGCAATTAAGCTTAACCCATTCAGTGTGGGGTTTATAGATATCTACTTCTTTTAATACATTGAATTAATTTATGGATTTATAGAGCATAGGTCTGGCATCTGCAAAGTGTTTAATGGACTGGATCATTCTAAAGGGGAATTAGAGGATTATGAAAGATAATCCAGCTCAAATCAATTTTAAAGTTTTTTTTTTTTGAGAAGGAGTCTCGCTCTGTCTCCCAGGATGGAGTGCAGTGACGCGATCTCGACTAACTGCAACCTCCACCTACCGGGTTCAAGTGATTCTCCTGCCTCAGCCTCCCGAGTAGCTGGGACTACAGATGCCCGCCACCACGCCTGGCTAACTTTTGTATTTTTAGTAGAGACAGGGTTTCACCATGTTGGCCATGATGGTCTTGATCTCCTGACCTTGTGATCCGCCCACCTCAGCCTCCCAAAGTGCTGGGATTACAGGCGTAAGCCACTGTGCCCGGCCCAATTTTAAGGTTTCTAAAAACTAGTTACAGATATTTTTAAATTGGTAATAACAATAATAATCAGCAATAGCCCTAATTAAAAATTTTTGGTCTTCTTGTCAAAACTAATACCTTATAATTTTTGGGTGATCATAAAGACTGTTTAACAAGATGAAACCAGCCCAGTGATGGATAACAGGTGTGACTCTAATGTTTTAAATGCTTTTAATGCAATAATTTATTTTAAATTATTCTTTGTACCTCACAAAGACAGCAAGTTATTAGAAGAAAGTATACTAGATTAGAAGTAAGGAGATTTGGGTTCCAGCTTTAGTCCTACTCCCTACTAGGCTTGTCACCTATTGCAAATCACTTAAAATCCCTGAGCTTTGGTTTCTTTATTACATCATTTACTTCATTTAGCTCCACTGCTAGGCTGTAAAAAACATGAAGTATTCATGACTGTTCACTGCTGTATCTGCAGCCTCATTCCCAAGGCAGAGCAGGCACTCAGCTAATGTTTGCTGGCTGATCGAATTAAGGATTAGAAACTAAAAAACACAAATATTGTCATGCATGCTTCAGAAGGTTGCCATGAGGCTTAATGTTATAGTGAAATACCATATGGGAAAATGGGTACATTCTTTTTTTAAAAGTTTTTAAATGTGGATACATTCTTGGTACCTAACTTAAAAGAAATTAAGGTAAATGGGTTAATAATTATAAGTTATTTTAAATCACTACTTTTATATATTTATAAGTATTCTGAGAAAACAGACTCAGCCAGGTGCGGTGGCTCATGCCTGTAATCCTAGCACTTTGGGAGCCCAAGGCAGGCAGATCACTTGAGCCCAGGAGTTGGAGACCAGCCTGGGCAACACAGCAAGAGCTCATCTCTACAAAAAATACAATAACTAGCCAGACGTGGTGGTGCAAGCCTGTAGTCCCAGCTACCTGGAAGGCTGAGGTGAGAAGATCACCTGAGCCTGGGGGTCAAGGCTGCAGTGAGCTGTGATGGTGCTGCTGCACTCCAGCCTGGGTGTCAGAGTGAGACCTTGTCTCAAAAAAATAAAAATAAGAATAAGTAAAAAGAAAAATAGGCTCTATCTATCTAAAGGCTCCGAAGACTTCAGTTATTGCTTACGATTAGCAAGGCGTTGGAGAGAAAATAATCTGAGATTTTAATACTGCAGGTAAATTCTCTAACACATTCAGATTAAAAAGTCAAATGTTAATTCCCTATGCTACAGCACAGTCATAATATGTAATACCTTAACCATATTTTAAAAAGATAAGAGATGGATGCCTGCTAACCTTGAAAGATCTAAGACATTCTCTTAAGTGAAAAATAAAATATGCAAATAATGTTTATATTTATATAAATAAAATCAAGCTATATATTTCTAGATTTTCAAATACATTTGTATAGGAGTATCTCAAAAAAGGCCTAGATGGTTCATACCTAACTGGTAACAGTGATCTGCCTTCGAGGAGGGGAGTGAGACTGTATAAGGGCAAACAGAGATTTTTGCTTTATTGGCATTGCCTGAAATTTTTTAATAGCAGGAATGTGAAAAAATAGATGAGAGCATATTACTAATCCACTGAATTCCTTAAGCCTTACTTGAATATTGAAGCTGGTCCTTGCAGGAAGGGAGCACTGCAGCTTTCAGTACGTTTAGGCATCCTCTCTTCTTTTTTTTTTGAGACAGAGTTTTTCTCTTGTTGCCCAAGCTGGAGTGCAATGGTGCAAACTCAGCTCACCATAACCTCCGCTCCAAGTTCAAGCGATTCTCCTGCCTCAGCCTCCCGAGTAGCTGGGATTACAGGCACACGCCACCACGCCCGGCTAATTTTGTATTTTTAGCAGAGATGGAGTTTCTCCTTGTTGGTCAGGCTGGTCTCAAACTCCCGACCTCAGGTGATCTGCCCGCCTCAGCCTCCCAAAGTGCTGGGATTACAGGTGTGAGTCACCACGCCTGGCTAGGTCTCTCTTATAGTAGGTGAAATAGTTTTCCTATAGAGAAGAAAAGCTAAATGGCTGACAGCACTGATATTGAACATTAAATATCGTATGTACTAAAAAAAACTAACCCGTAAAATTAGAAGGACTAAGGAAAAATATATTTGCTGGTTACATATAATGGTAATAGAAAGCTAGTAATTAAATATAATTCTCATTAGAATTACAATGTAGCCTTTGAATATTCTATTAAATAAATGAATTCAATTAGTTTCATTTTCAAATTAGCTTTATTTTATCACATTTGATTGGCCCAGTCCATTAGACAAAAAGACATATTGACTAAATACAACATAATTTCTATAACCTGAGGGGACTCGCGCATCATTACCTGATTGCTTGCTGACTTGGCTGTTGATTGGTTTCATGACTTCGAAGCTCCCCTCCTATGACAATTCTTCCTCCTCTAAGGACTTCCTCATTGCTGATTCTTCATCCTGCTCTAATAGCTCTGTCTCTTCCATAAACTTCCTTTCCTGGGATGACCTTCTGTCATATGTTGTTCTTTGTGCATAGTCTCCATCTAAAAGCAGCCCCTGCGTCTGTGACATGCTCTGCTCCGGGAATTCAGAGGCCTCCAGTGACTCTGTCACTGCTCCAGGACCACCAGGCTCATCCTCTGGTTCTGGAGACCGATGTGTTTCTTCCTTATGCTCATACATATACAGTCTCTTTTCAACCACTTCACGGATCAACACTGAAAAGTTAAGTGTCCAGACATCATTATGATTTTCATATTATGGTATATTTTAGGAGTTATAGTGCTGACTTATAGATGATTACAAAACCTTCACGAAGCCTCATCCCTTTCCTATGTCATAACCTTTTTTTTGAAGTCAGCATACTTAACTTCACACTTAATGCATTAAATATAAATTATACTGTTTTAACAGAATATCATTTATGAAGTAAAGACAGAAGATATTAATAGATATCAAATTATAAAAGAGCCAAAGATAATATTGAGGGTAAAAATTTGCACTTCTATTAATATAATTGATATACTAAAAGTTTAAGTATTAGAACTGTGAAATTAATCTTTCAATTATTCAATTTATTCTTTCTACTAAAAATTTTAGAGATGAATTTTTGGATAAAATAACTTACTGTCAAGCACTGTTCTTCCCACCATGCTATATTCCATGGTTTTTTCAACTTCATTCATTAGCCATGGAAGAAATCCTATCTCAATATCTGTAATAAAAGACATTGATTTTTATGTATCGTCAGAGGAATAATGTGCTTTTCTCCTAATGTAATAGACTCAGCAACATTAGTTTCTTAATATAAAATGTTAAGTAGACTCATACAGCATAACTTGCCATATTCCTTATATATGTTCTGGTCAGTTTCCTTTCTGTTGCATAAGTGATTTTTTTTTTTGAGAGAGTCTCGCTCTGTCGCCCAGGCTGGAGTGCAGTGGCACGATCTCCGCTTACTGCAACCTCCGCTTCCCGGGTTCAAGTGATTCCTCTGCCTCAGCCTTCTGAGTAGCTGGGACTATAGGCACACGCCACTACGCTTGGCTAATTTTTGTATTTTTAGTACAGACGGGGTTTCACCATGTTGGCCAGGATGGTCTCAATCTCCTGACCTCGTGACCCACTCACCTTGGCCTCCCAAAGTGCTAGGATTACAGGTGTGAGCCACCACACCTGTCCCAATATTTTAAGAACTATGAGGCCTTCCTTGGAGTCAAGGCATTTGGAGTTTCCTTCGTAGGTGCAATCTGAGATGGATCAGGGAGGCAGGGGGAGGATGTGGGTTTGGGAGAACTCCAATCCAAATGCAATGCAAATCTGGAATTGAGCAATGCCAGTAAAAGAAAGTCTCCACCTGAAGGCCAGGGCCTAATGGAAGGAAGCTGATCAGACTCAGAGAACGCAGGTGAGAGGGCATTTGAGGAGGCAGCCATCTAGAAATAGGTCAGAAACTAGGTGTTTCCATCAGTATTAAGTTTGTTCAAACTGAAATCCACTGTGTAAGCATTTTAAAAATATGATCTATTACGATATACATTTTAAAGTTTCAAAACAGCATTTTTTGGGGCAGGCATCTAATTTTATTTTTCAATAGGATGAAATGGAGAGTGTGATAGAATATTATATTCACTACTATAAATAATTTTAATCTCAGGTATGAATTTCATTTGCAAGCTTTTATATGATCTATAACTTACTTTTTTGGCAATCAGTGATAGAAAAAAGGCTACTTGTCTCTCTGGCTAACAGAGTCCAAGCTAGAGCCCAGGACAGCAGGATGGTAGCCGAGAATGAACACTGGACTTGGAGTCTGAGTTCCAAGTCAGTTTGAGGCCTAATATTTCCACTGCCTGAGGAGTTGGGAGCAAGGCATTCAACTTCTCTGAGCTTCAGTTTCTATTTCCGAAAAAATGGGAATTCTATCTGACCTGCCTATCCTACAGGGTTATTGGGAGTATCAAATGATATCACCTATGAAAAATACTATGTATGTTAATAACATTTGTCTGTGATCTCACCTCTTTGTATTAAATTGAATATGTAATCAGTGAAAATTAACATTACTAACATGTGTCCCAAAATACTACTGCCCAAAAAATAGGACCTCTACACCAGCACGGTGGATGTACATACTTTTCACCCTGAGGAAGGTGGGTGGTGGTGAGGACATGCAACTCTTCCTTTCCACTGGCTGAGCAGCTAGAACCGCGGACTTTGAGGGGATACAGACAGACAGCTATCAGGCTATTGGTTCCCTAATGGCAGAGACCAGGGATCCTTCCTTTTCTCCAATACCAAACATTGCCTGGAACAGGGTAAGAGCCTAATTAAACGAATAAATGACCTTGATAGTTGCCCTCAAAGGGTTTTTGATTGGAGTAAGTCAACTGAGAAAAAGTTAATAACAACTACTTACGCATACATAGGACTTTACAGTTTACACGTTTCATATATCTTATGACTTAACTCCTAAATAATCCTCATTTCAGGTTGGGCACAGTGGCTCACGCCTATAATCCCAGCCCTTTGGGAGGCCAAGGCAAGCGGATCACTTGAGGTCAGGACCAGCCTGGTCAACATGGCGAAACCCCGTCTCTACTGAAAAACACAAAAATTAGCTGGGCGTGGTAGCAGGTGCCTGTAATCCCAGCTACTCGGGAGGCCGAGGCAGGAAGAATTGCTTGAACTTGGGAGGTGGAGGTTGCAGTGAGCCAAGATCGCGCCACTGTACTCCAGCCTCGGCAAAAGAGTGAGAATCCGTCTCAAAAAAAAAAAAAAAAAATCCTCATTTCACACATGGAGAAACTGGAGGTCATCAAGCTAGCTAATGATAAAGCTGCAACCCAAACTCAAATTTTCAATACCAAGTCCATATGTCTTTCTACTATACAAATGTTGCTTCTCAATAAACAAACACTAATATCCTTAAATCAAGATCTTCAAAATACACATCTCATTAACAACTGTACTTACTTTAAACAACTAAAATTGACTTTGTATCAGAAATAAAGATTCCAATTCAAAATAAAAATGGACATAACATAAATTTGAACCATTAAGAGGATGCTTATTAAAACAGAATTAATCTAACAAAAATATCTACAAACCTCTTTCAATGGGATCATAAAAGTAGCCACTATCCCTGAGGCTGCCAAAAACAGACGGGAGAAGGTCAGCCAGGTAACGCTGTGCAAATGCTCGGGCGGCGATTTTTTGTGATGTCTCATTGTGCTTGTGCACTATTTCCCACTGCTGTTTCTTACGCCGTTCCTGCCAAAACAACATAGGTGGTTATTTAGCTCTTATGCCCTCCCCAAGTACTGAATCTAGTGAAGTTAATAAGTAGAAGAATCCAGACTTATCAAAAAATGGGCAGTGAGGTGTCTATCTATTAAAGGTCCATATTTTTCATCAAAATTTTAACAAATTTCAACAGCTAGTGGGTACTGAATTCAGGAAGTTATAAAAGATGGAATTTAAGGTAAAAACCTCACTATTCATTTCAAGTAAAATAATTTCAAGACATACATGCTTGACAGTATAGATGGTAGCAAAAAGATAATCACCACTATATGTACTTTAAAATAATATTATCATGAAATATTACTGGTAAGAAAATTACCAGTGGGCCAGTGAATGAGTTCATTTGTAACAATTCCCTGAATTTGTAAAGCCTGAATGGTTCTGAAGATTATGAAAGCCCTCTTATTTTTTCTGTGCTTCCTTCTAGACCATGTAATATTTATAAAGCTGATGAATCTGTCTCTACTCTCACGTGGAAGTGGGAGCATTAAATATTTTCTAATTAAATCCTATATTTAAACTCTAAACAAATATAAGTTCTAGGTGATTCCTGTATCCAGTTTTCCATAATATATTTCCAAATAGTGAATAAACAAATATTTTTGATAAAGATTTCATGACTCTCTTCAACAAAGTTATTTTGCCACAATTCATTTTATTATTTGTAAATAAAATCTTACTTTGCACAATCCTTATTGTAAGCCCTATGCTCTTTACACAACTAAGTATTCATCTTGGAATTAAGTCCTTTGATAGTATTGAGTAGGATTTCCCAACAATTCGCTATTTTTCATAGCATTAGTAAGTTAGGCCCCTTGGGAATTTTTTCTGAACTGTTCAGGTATTAAGATACTACTTTTAATTGTTCATCAGTATATCAACAAAGGCTGACAGTTATGCCAGAACCAGAAAGAACTATCTCTAGTGCTCCTAAACTGTAGGCTACCGGCACATTTAAAAAACTGGATTGTAAACCTCTCCTTATTGAAGATTCTAAAAATCCTGAATCTGAAAAAATATTCTTATAAAGAACCCCCAAATCACAGTCTGGTGTGTCACTAAGGGGTATAAAGAAGGGCCTGGTCACCAAGAAAAAGAATCAGAATTCTATCCAGATGCCCTGCTTCTTTACCCACAGTCTCTCTCCAATACACTCACTTTTCCTTCCTTCCATCTTTCTGCCACTAACTTACGGCAAACCAACATATGTCTTTCTTTCTTTAGCACTGTGATGTTAAGAGTCTTCAACTGGGACACATGTAACCTAGGAACTTTACTTTATTTAGAAACTTTTGGAAACTCCACTTTAGTATATTTATGTAAGCTGGAGTTTAAAAGATGGAATTCAGTCCACGAAAGATCTCTGATCTATAGAAGAGACCTGAGCAAAAATATTATAGATCTTTTTCTAATATATTCCCAAAGATCTTTAGTTTTATGATATATCATCAATGTAATTTTGAACATAATATGCTAACTAGCCAAAAGACTGCCTAAGAAAGAAAAATACCATTATATATACTTTTTCTTCTCGGGTGTCGGCCTCTCTTGCTCTTCAAGTCGTTGAACTTCAGCACGTTCACCTATTCCGTAGTTCTTCATACTCACGCTGATGGCCCGCAGGTTAGCCAGCTCTTCTTCTTCCATTACTTCCCGAAGAGACTGGCTCAATTATCTTCCCACCAAAACTTCTAACACTGGTTTAACTTCAAGATCAAAGTCAAAGAGCTTAAACATACAAAATAAAGCAAACTTAAAATTTTTAATTACGAATCAAATGCTCAACAAAATATAATAATAGCAATAACAAGATATTATTTTTAAGTGTCTCCTGTGGCCAGACACTGTGCTGGTGCTTTATTTATGGTTCCTAATCCTCAAAATCCAACAACATTTTGTTTACAGGCAAAAATCTGTTAAGTCAAAGTTATGAAAAAATGTATGCATTCATCAAAATGAACCCTGACACTGAAGAGGAATATCCCTTGTCTGTCTTATTCTTTGCCTTCTCTGTTTGATTTTTATTTATTTATTTATTTATTTATTATTATTTTTTTTTTTGAGGACGCAGTCTTGCTCTGTCGCCCAGGCTGGAGTGCAGTGGCCGGATCTCAGCTCACTTCAGCTCCGCCTCCCGGGTTCACGCCATTCTCCTGCCTAGCCTCCCAAGTAGCTGGGACTACAGGCGCCCGCCACCTCACCCGGCTAGTTTTTTTTGTATTTTTTAGTAGAGACGGGGTTTCACCATGTTAGCCAGGATGGTCTCGATCTCCTGACCTTGTGATCCGCCCGTCTCAGCCTCCCAAAGTGCTGGGATTACAGGCTTGAGCCACCGCACCCGGCCGTTGTTTTTATTTATTTTTAAATAACAGTTGGATGAATGAACAAATAAGAATAATAGATATTTTGGTGATTCATTGCTAGGATTTCCAGGCAAATATACTTTCAGATAGCTTCTGAAGATTTATTTATTTCCCAATTTCAATGACAGTTCTTTCAAGTTCCCACAAGTGTTAAAACTCATTTAGGTCATTATGAACATATCATTTGCCTTCTCTTCTTCAATTTCATAAACAGGCCCATTTATGCATTCCACCTGATAGAAAAATGTAATTATTAAAATTTTTTTTAAATGAGAGATATCTTTACAAAAGTTATGTAATCCACAAGCAACTAATTGTGGGAATCTTTTATACCAGGGACATTATTTTTTCCTTATTTATACAAATCTATCTTATATACATACATTAAGCAAGCATATAACAAACAAAAATCAAATGTGGAAATATTCTAAAAATATTTTAAATGATTTTGTTTTTAATTGGGCAAAGAAATCAGAACATGGTATTTCAAAACATTTCTGAGTACTATATGATAAAACCATTATAATATCTGGAAAGAAATTCAAGAAGTAGAATCTGATTGTGAAGTGGCTCTTGTTCATATTAAGCATTATCTACACCTAACTTTACCTCATTTATAAGATTATAGAGGGAACCCACAGGATATACTGTACCTCTCCTTCTAGTATTGGGTGGCCACATCTTTGCCAGTTTTGGCAGGAATAAAGAGTGGTGTTGGTGGTCTGTCCAAAAATGCATCTGTTTGGCATTCCATATCAACTTCTATTATGCGATCAGCAATTTCTCAAGGTATAATCTAAGAAGAATCATCATATACATTGAGTTTAAAATCTGGTCTAAGGCAGGCACACAGTTATTTATGCCCATAATCCCAGCACTTTAGGAGGCCGAGGAGGGTGCATTACTTGAGGCCAGGAGTTTGAGACCAGCCTGTCCAACATGGCGAAACCCCCATCTCTACAAAAAATATAAAAATTAGCTGGGTGTGGTGGTGCTGCCTGTGGGTCCCAGTCACTTGGGAGGCTGAGGTGGGGAGAATTGCTTGAACCTGGGAGGTGGAGGTTGCAGTGATCCAAGATCGTGTCACCGTACTGCAGCTGGGCAACACAATGAGACTCTGTCCTCTAAGACAAAAAGTTCTGGTCTATTTCAAGCATATATGCGTATTTGAAATTTTAGCTCTTTCAAAACATATTTAAATGAATCAGAAAATAAGTATTAGAATAAAAGTGTTCAATATGGGGCTTACTTCACATACTGAACTAAGAGTTTTTAAATATTTGGAAGACCATAGATAGAGTTAGTCAGGCTAGAACATTTACTGAATGTCTAGAAGCACTGAGCTTTGTATTTTGAAAAATGGAACTGAAGAAGAACATGAGACCATAGATGTGTATAAGATGCAGAGTACAACAGTGGATAAAAGGTCAGTAATACCATATATATATTTGCGTCCTAAGATAGTAAACATATAAAGATTTGAAATTCCTGGAATTTAAAAAAATCATGTACCAAGTCACCAGGTTATTTGATGTTCCCTCTCACTACAGATTATAAACAGATGTATGAAAACAAATTTCTGTTAGGAGTAATTTAATTGAGGCAAGGGTAATGTGGTATCAAGCAAAGAACATGAGCACTAGAGTCAGATGTTGGGCACAGGACTTGGCCAAGTCATGTCCTCTCTGGCCTCAGTTTCTTCATCTGGAAAATGGGCTATAACTACCCGTCACACAGAATCTTTGTAATAATGAAGGAAATACACAGATAAAGGACCTGGTTCAGTCTCTGAGGAAATATCCAAAAAAAGCTGGCTGCTATTATATCACTTAATATCTGATGGTATAAAGAAACATGAAAACTTAGCTCTTTGGCTAATGACAGCCATACACACATTCTATGACTTGGCGTAAGGCAAGTGTTAAAGGCATGGAATGGTCCCTTTTGCCTTTACCATGCAGAAATAATCCTGATGGATCCACTCACCATCTTGGAAGGGTACAAAGTGAACCTTAATAGTGACCAGTGGTCCAAGGAAAACACCAAGCACTGTCTGATGACCAAGATTCTGTCAACAATACAGCTAGACCCTATAGGACCAGGTAAACCTCTACAGCTGAGGACCAGCAGACAAGCACGCAAATCCTGACATCTGCCTCAGGGGTACCTTGTGGCCCTGGGGAATGTGCACAGTGACAGAACTGGAGGACAGAGGAGGCTGGTGTGGAGAGCAATGACTCAGATGGGAGTGGGTTTATTCCTCTCAAAGACAAAATGACAAAGTAGATTATATTGCTCTCCTTTCTATAAGTCCTAATGAAAAGAATAGTGATTCATGTTGGGCTACGAGAAAGAATCCCAGTTTGAGAACAGAGTATGTGGAAAAGGGCTCCTAAGACAGAATTTGTTTGGTCACAAAAATTCTTTATTTATTTATTTGTTGCCCAGGCTGAGTCCAGTGATGTGATCATAGCTTACTGCAGCCTTTGAAATCCTGGGCACATATAATCCTCCTGCCTTAGCCTACTGGGTGTTGGAATTACAGGCATATACCACCATGCTTGACCAATTTAAATGTTTTTGTGGAGATGGGGTCTTGGTATGTTGCCCTGGCTGGTCTCGAACCCCTGGGCTCAAGTGATCCTCCTGCCTTACCTCCCAAAGTGCTGGGATTACAGATGTGAGCCACTACGCTTGGCCAAAATTCTTTTTTTTGTTTGTTTTTTGAACCCCATCCCACACTTCCAGTCATATCCACTAAGATAATAGTATACAGCTATGTATTTCTTTCTCTCTCTCTCTCCTTTTTTTTTTTTTTGAGATGGACTTTAGCTCCTGTCGCCAGGCTGGAGTGCAACGGTGCAGATCTCGGCTCACTGCAACCTCCACCTCCTGGGTTCAGTGATTCTCCTGCCTCAGCCTCCCAAGTAGCTGGGATTAAGGTGACTGCCACCATGCCCAGCTAATTTTTTGTATTTTAGTAGAGACGGGGTATTTCACCACATTGGCCAGGCTGGTTTCAAACTCCTGACCTCAGGCGATCTGCCCGCCTCAGTCTCCCCAAGTGCTGGGATTACAGGTGTAAGCCAGCAACCCAACCTAGTCTATGTATTTCTTTAATAAATGAACTTCCCTACCATGTTACTGGGGAAGTATCAGCACAGGAGAGGCATAAATAACACAAAGGCCAAACACAAATGAACTGACAGACAACTGAGTAAACCAAGAGGACACAATGCCAAGGGCACAGTCACACACCTGTTTGCACATCGACATGCTTTCTGCCTTCCACAGGTTCAGGTGTTTGTGGTCTGAGCTGCTCTTGGGCTTGTTTTCTGGCAAGAGCCCTCTTCTTAGCCCTCCCGTTGTCTCTGAAGCTCTAGAGAATCAGGCTGTCCGAGCTAACAGTGATAGAAAATACTCTAGAATTTAGAAAATATTTATTAAAGCATACAAGAACTGCCATTCCAAAAGCAATTCCTGGGTAGTATAAAGGCATTTATCATAATGTTTCCTGATTATCAGTAACTTCATTAAAATTGCATTAGTACTTTGTCAGATAATTACAAAGATGTTTGACAAAGCATAAAAGTAACTTCAAAGTATGGCTGTTAACTGGAATACATGGGTGCACAATCCTATCTATATATTTACAAAAATAATAAAAACATTTCCTTTTAATTCATTTGTTGACCTGCTGATCATTCAGAGCATGCTGTTTAATTTCCATGTATTTTTGTAGCTTCCAAGGTTCCTCTTATTATTGATTTCTAGTTTTACTTCATTTGATCAGCAAAGATACTTGATAGAATTTCTACTTTTTTGAATTTGTGCAGACATGTTTTGTGGCCTAAGATATGGTCTATTCTGAAGAATGATCATGTGCTGAAGAAAAAATGTGTACTCTGCAGAGGATGGATAAAATGTTTCTATAGATATCAGTTAGTCCTAATAGGTCTAGTGTGAAGTTTAACACCAATTTTCCTTTCTTTCTTTCTCTTTTTTTTCCTTTTCTGTTTGGATTATCTATTCATTACTGAGAATGGGTTGTTGAATCTCCTACTATTATTGGCATTGCTGTCTATTTCTCCCTTTAGATCCATTCATGTTTGCTTCACATAATTGGGAGCTCTGGTGTTGGGTGCATATTTATCATTGTTACATCCTCTGGCTGAACGGATCACTTTATGATTACAGAGTGACTATGTTTCTTTCTACAGTCTTTGATTTGTAGTTTATCTGATGTAAGTATACTCATGTCTTTTATTGGTTTCTAGTTGCATGGAAAATCTTTTTCCATCCTTTACTTTCAGTCTATGTGTGTCTCTGTAGGTGAATGGGTTTCTTGTAGGAGCATACAGTTGGGTCTCGTTTCTTTATCAATCAGCTATTCTATGCCTTTTAATTGGAGAACCAAGTCCTCTTACATTCAGTGTTGTTATTGATAAAGCAAGGACTTCCTACTACCATTTTGTTGCTTATTTTCTGGTTGTTTTGTATCTCCTTCCTTCTTTATTGTCTGTCTTTGTGTTAAGTGACTTTATCTGGTAGTATATTTTAGTTTGTTGCTTTTAATTTTTGGTGACTCCACTACAGATTTTTGCATTGTGGTTACCATGAGGCTTACAAAAAACATAGATATAGCAAGTTGTTTGCAGAGATGACAACTTATCTTAGATCACAAAGAACAGAAGCAAAGAAAAATTATTCTACACTTTAACTCCATTCCCCCACATACTAACTTTCAGTTGCCTCATTGCACTTTTTTTTTTTTTTTTGAGACCAAGTCTGCACTGTCGCCCAGGCTGGAGTGCAGTGGTGTGATTACCTACCTCTTAACAGGTTGCTGCAGCTATTACTGTTTTTGATAGTTGTCTTTTGGGCCTCATAGTAGAATTATGAGTGGATTGCATACTACAGTTATAGTATGAGAGTATTCTAGGTTTGTCTATGTACTTAATTTAACCAGTAAGTTTCATACCTTCAAATGTTTTCTTTTGGCATATTAGTGGTTTTTGTTGTTGTTGTTCAGGCTGAAGAATTTCCTTTAACGTTTCTTGTAAGATGAGCGTGGTGGTGCTGAATTTGCTCAGCTCTTATTTGTCTAGGAAAGACTATGTCTCCTTCATATTTGAGGGATATTTTGTGGATACAATATTCTTAGATGATTTTTTTTCTTTCAGCACTTTGAAAATGTCACCCCAGTCCCTCCTGGTCATCTCACTCCCTCCTGGCCTGTACAATTTCCATGAGAAGTCAGCTGCCAGATGGATTGGAGATGCTTCATGTATGTTATTTGCTTCTTTTCTCTTGCTGCTTTTGGGATTCTTTTTTTGTCCTTGACCTTTGAGAGCTTGATTATTCTATGGGGTATTATTTGGGTGAAAGAGTTTGGTATTCTCTGACCTTCCTGTACCTGGATATCTATCTCTTTCTCAAGTTTTGGAAAGTTTTCTGTTAGTATTTCTTAAAACAAGCTTCCTACTCCTTACTCTTACTCAATTCCCTCTTGAACACAGGTAATTCTTAGCTTTGATCTTTTGGCGGGTAATTTTCTATATCTTGTAAGCAGTCTTTGTTTTTTTCTCATTCTTTTCTCTCCTCAGACTGTTTATTTTTCAAATAGTCTGTCTTTGTCTTCATGTTCACTGATTCTTTCCTCTGCTTGATTCATTCTGTTGTTGAAAGCCTCTAATACATTTTTCAGTTCAACAAATGTATTACTCAGCTCCAAGATTTCTGCTTGATTTTAAAAAATTATTTCAATTTCCTTGTTAAATTTCTGTAACAAATTTCTAAATTGCTTTTCTGTGTTATCTTAGATGTCACCAAATTTCCTTAAGACTGCTATTTTGAATTTTGGTCAGAGAGCTCACATCCTGCCATCTCATTAGTGCCAGTTACTGATTCCTTGCTTTGTCCTTCAGGTAGGTAGGTCGTGGTTCCTCATTTGCTGTTGTTTCATGTGGATGTATGTCTATGTCTCTGCACTGAAGGGTTATTTAGTCCAGTCTTCTCTGTCTGGCTTGTTTTTGCTTTTTATTGGATATATTTCTTAGAAACCCCCCCTTTTTTTTTCCCCTTTTTTGAGACAGAGTCTCACTCTGTCACCCTGGCTGGAGTGCACTGGTGTGATCTTGGCTCACTGCAACCTCTGCCTCCTGGGTTCAAGCAATTCTCCTGACTCAGGCCTCTCAAGTAGCTGATTACAGATGCCTGCCACCACATCTGGCTAAATTTTGTATTTTTAGTAGACATGGGGTTTCATCATATTGGTCAGGTTGGTTTCGAACTAATGACCTCAAGCGATCTGCCTGCCTCGGCCTCCCCAAAGTGCTGGGATTACAGGCATGAGACACTGCGCCCTGCCAGAGATCCTTTATCACTAGATTGCTGCCTCCTTTTTGGCTCTAGGTGGTGCCTTAAGGCCAGGTTCACCTGGCTCTAGTAAATGATCAGAGCACTGCCCATCCTGAATGGGGAGATCCCAAAGGGGATACACTGGTAGTGGGACTGGCTAGGGGTCTATGCCCAGGGGACTGGTACAATGTTATCTCCTACAGTGTGGTGCTGCTGAACAGCCATGCTCATTTGGTGTTTCCTTTGATCGAGTTATACAGCGGAGTGTCCAGGGCTGGGGATGGTAGTCTCACCTCCCCATTTTGTCTTTGGCTGTACTCAGGGGTATTTCTCTCTTCAGGAACTCATGATGCTTCTTGTGGGTTGAATTTCCTGCCAGGGAACCCAACACGGTAGGAAACTAGTTGTCCACCTTGATCTTTTCCAGTGCAGAAATCACAAGTCAGAGATAAATCCTTGTGATGGTTAATACTGAGTGTCAACTTGACTGGATTGAAGGATACCAAGTACAGATCCTAGGTGTGTCTCAGGGTGTTGCCAAAAGAGACTATCATCTGAGTCAGTAGGCTTGGAAAGGCAGACCCACCCTTAACCTGGGTGAGCACAATCTAATCAGCTGCCAGAGTGGCTAGAATACAAGCAGGCAGAAAAATGTGAAAAGAGAGACTGGCCTAGCCTCCCAGCCTACATGTTTCTCCTGTGCTGGATGCTTCCTGCCCTCGATCATTGAACTCCAAGTTCTTCAGTTTTGGAATCTGGACTAGCTCTCCTTGCTCCTCAGCCTGCAGATGGCCTATTACGGGACCTTGTGATTGTGTGAGTTAATACTTAATAAATTCTACTGCATATATATATATCTGTTCCATTAGTTCTGTCCCTCTAGAGAACGCTAATACAATCCTCCACATCCTTAGTGCCAGGCAGACTAGAAGGAGAGATACTGCAGACATGAACGTCTGATTCTCCTACCACTTTCTTGGAGCTTTTTCACTTTTCTGTAGCCCTGGGAAGTGCCTCCTCCTTCTACTTGACCTCTAGAATATTGCTGGTGGTAATCTCGGCACTGTATATTTGTTCTTGATTTTCTTTTGCAGGGGGAGTGAAGCCGGCCTGCTTCTATGCTGCCGTTTTGGAACTCCTGAAAAATATTTCACTGGATTAGAATTAGAGCTTGATAGTTCTTTCCTTTAAGGACTTGGAAAATATTGTGCCACTTTCTTGTCTCCATGTTTTAGGTAAGAAATCCACTGCCATTTAAATCATTGTTCTCCTTTAGCTAATGCGTAATTTCTTTCTGGCTGATTTCAAAATGTTTTGTTTTTAATTTTCAAAAGTTTGATCTCGATTTGTCTCGGGTAGATTTCTCTGGGTTTATCCTCTTTGGGGGAGTCACTTGGTTTCTTGGATCTGTAGGCCTTTTGCCTACAGATTCAAGATTTCCATCTCCTAGTTTTCCTCCTCTCCTTCTAGGATTCCAACAACATGAATATAAATCTTTGTGATTGTTCTTCAGCTCTCTCAGGCTTTTTATTTATTTATTTGGTCTATTTTCTCTCTGTTCAGCTGGATAACTTCCATTCTTCATTGATTTTTCTTCAAGTTCATTGATTGTTTCCTATATCATTTCCAATGAACTACTGAGTCCATCCAGTGAGTTTTTATTTTAGTTATTGTATTTTTCAGTTCTATAAGTTTCCATTTGGTTCACTTTATCTTCTATTTCTTTGCTAAGATTTTTTTTTGTTTCAAGAGTGTCTACAATTGTCCACTTTTCATTGAAACATGTTTGTTGCTTTAAAATCCTTGTCAGGTAATTCCCACATCTGAGTCATCCTGGTTTTGTCATTTCTTGATTGTCTTTTCTTGTGCAAGTTGTGACTGTCCTGATTCTTGTATGATAAGTGATTTTGGTTTGTATCCTGGCTATTTTGGGTATTATATTTGAAGACTTTGGATCCTATTTAATTTTTCAGTAGAAAGTCACCCTTTTGTTTAGTGAACAAGCCTGTGTGGGGTTAGAAGTTCAACTTCCTGCTGGGCCCCACTGTCACCACCTCAACAAAAGCAGAGGGTCAACCTGTACCAACACATAGGTGCCAGGTGGGGGTGGTAGTTCAGCTCCTTTCTAGGCTCTGTTGACACTGGTGGTGGTGTCTGGAGAGTGCAGCATTGACTAGTACTGCCTCATACCACCTTGTTACTGCCAGATAGGACTACAATTCAGCTACCTACTGGATTTGCTGGCACCACCCCAGAAAGAGTGGGCACTGACTTGTGCCATCTCCTACTACCTCACTGGTACTGGGTGAAAGTCCAGCTTCCTGCTCCACCCTTGTTGATACCACCTCAGTGGGAGAAGCAGGAATCCCTGGAGGTTCTAATGCAAGAGATCCAGGATAGGGTTGAAGCGTATATACATACATACATACATATATATATATGTTAATAAGTTAACCATTGCTTCAGACTAATAGATGTTCCCCAACTTATGTGGTTTATGACTTTTCAGCTTTATGATGATACAAAAGTATCCACAGAGAATGTACTTTGAATACTCATACAACCATTCTATTTTTCACTTTAATATTTAATAAATTATATGAGATATTCAACACTTTATTATAAAATAGACTTTGTGTTAGATGATTTTTCCCAACTGTAGGCTAATGTAAGTATTCTGAGCACTTTTTTTTTTGAGACAGGGTCTCGTTCCGGGAACATACCTTAGGTGGATTCTTCACATGCCTCATTTGACATTCAACAACATTGGATTTGAATGTTATTATTCATCTTTAACTTCTTTTTAATCACTTATTTCTTGATACTCCCTGCCTCAGACTCCGATTCAGGCACACTGAGCTTCCCTCAATTCCTTAACATTCTAGGTTGTGTTTTTTTGTTTTTGTTTTTTGAGACAGGGTTTCCCTCTGTCACCCAGGCTGGAGTGCAGTGGTGTGATCACAGCTCACTGCAGCCTTGTCCTCCGGAGCTCAATCAATCCTTCTGCCTCAGCCTCCCAAGTAGTTGGGACTGCAGGTGCGTGCCACCATGCCCAGCTAATTTTTGTGGGTTTTTTTTTTTTTTTTTTTTGTAGAGACAGGGTTTCACCACTTGCCCAGGCTGGTCTCAAGCACCTTGGCTCAAGTGATCTGCCCACCTTGGCCTCCCAAAGTGCTGGGATTACAGGCGTGAGCCACCATACCTGGCCTCTGAGCATATTTAAGGTAGGCTATGCTATGCTATGCTATGGTGTGTTTGGCAGGTTTGGTGTTTTAAATTCATTTTTAATGTTCAGTGAGTTTATTGGGACATAACCTCATCCTAAGTAGAGGAGCATCTCTATCACCATCTTGTATTAGGCACTTATATGTCATATACAGTTTAGAGATTCACCTGTATTTCATTTCTGTGCCAAGAACTCACCACCCTTAATATCATACCATGTCTTACTCATCTCTGTATCCTAGGTACCCATAACAGGACCTGAAAGTCAATAAATATCTGTTGAGTGAATTAAAGCAGCAGAATTCAGACTTTTTGATTAAATAATGATAATTGTATTAGAGTATGAGATAATCTAAACAAACCTAGATGCAATCAACAAGGGCTACTCAAAATGTGGGCCTCTGGCTAGTGTGTCTATAAACTATTTGAACTGGTCTGTAACAATTTAAGTATAGAAATTGAGAGTAAAAGTCTAGAAATGTTTAGAATGGCAGAGTTCTGTTGAATCTAATGAAAAATTGGGGCTTTTTTTTTTAGTTAATTCTTTTTTTGTGGTAAAATACACATAATGTAAAATTTATCACCTTAACCTTTTTTAAGTATAAAATTCAGTGGTATTAATCACATTCACATTGTTCTATCACTGTCACCATCCTCTATCTCCGGAACTCTTTTCCCCTTGCAAAACCGAAACTCTACACTCATTAAACAGTAACTCCTTCCCTGGCCCCCTCATCCCCCAGCTCCTGGAAACTCACTGGGCTTCCATTTGTATGTCTTTTTTAAAACTTCATTTTTATAGTAATTCATCTTTATTTTATGAATGTTTTAGTCTGCAATGGATTAGAAATTAACACAAAGAAACTGATCCTTCCCCACAGATAATGTGAGAACAGTGTTAGACTATTCAAACTTAACTTACCAGTGGCCCTGTCTGGAGTGCGTAAGTGTTGCCTCGAATTACCCTTCTGTCATACATTATGTTTCCATAACGCATAGGTTCTTCATCTCTGTAAACAGAAAATCCTGTAAAACCATTTTAATAGAGTATTGGTATCTATGAAGTAACTCATTTTCAATAGGATTTAGACTAAAATAAATATATTTTAAGAAAATAAATTTCTGTTTCAGTGTGGTCCATAAATAAGGAGGTAAATGGATACAATTTATGTAATGCTTACTATATGCCAGGTCCTTCATGTACATTATTTATTTATTATTCACAATAAGCTGCCAAGGTGGGAATTATGATTCCTTTTTCAGAAGGGGAAACAGACTCTGGAATCTGCCCAAGGTCACCTTGCTAGTAAGTGGCAGGGCTAGATTTAGATTGTAAATCTGTATGACTTTAGTAAATATGAAAATGGCCCACCTGAAAGGGGCCTTCTTTAAAGGACTGAAAAAGCTTGATTCAAAGATTGAAAAGTTACAGTAATAAAAAAATGAGGCTAAAAATTAAGTCCATTTTCTAATTGTTCTTTAAACCCAAACGTATTTTTTTTTTTTTTTTGAGTCGGAGTCTCGCCCTGTCGCCCAGGCTGGAGTGCAGTCTCCGCCTCCCGGGTTCACGCCATTCTCCTGCCTCAGCCTCCCGAGTAGCTGGGACTACAGGCACCCACCATCTTGCCCGGCTATTTTTTTGTATTTTTTAGTGGAGGCGGGGTTTCACCATGTTAGCCAGGATGGTCTCGATCTCCTGACCTCGTGATCCACCCGTCTTGGCCTCCCAAAGTGCTGGGATTACAGGCTTGAGCCACCGCGCCTGGCCCCCAAACGTATTTTTTAAAGTTATTGTTTAAAATGTTAATAAAATTTTTCAGCCTGGCCAACATGGTGAAACATCATCTCTACTAAAAATACAAAATTAGCCAGACCTGGTGGCCTGCACCTGTAATCCCAGCTGCTCCGGTGCCTGAGGCATGAGAATGGTTTCAGCCCAGGAGGCAGAGGTTGCCGTGAGCTGAGATCAGGCTACTGAACTCCAGCCTGGGAGACAGAGAGACTTTGTCTCAAAAAATAAATAGATAAATAAATAAAATAAAATATTAATTTCAGGGATCAGAATGATTGCTAGTAAAAAATACAAAAACACAGTTGATATTTTCATTCAAAGTTATTTAAATGGTATATTGTTTATAGCTAAGAAACTAAACATTGCCCTATACCAACAACAGTATTCTATGGGAAATGATTCTGAGTGGGGTATAAGTTGCTTTTTTGTCATATATTGAAGCCACAATTGAACATTCTAACATGTTTCATTGCTTGTATTAATTGATCTCTGGGCAGTGTTAGGCCCAGTTGGCCACTCCTTCACTGAAGCATTCTCTTTCCTAGGCCTCTGTGTTACCACCATAATCTTCTGATTGTTTTTCTACTACTTCTCTAATGCCTTTTTCTTAGCCTTTGTTTGTAGTTCCTCCCATACTGGAGGATTTCCTCCAGGCTCAGCCTTCTCTTGTCCTTAGTCGACCTCATCCATTTTCAAGACTTCAATTATAATCCATATACCTAAAACTCCCAATTTTTATTTAGCCAAGAACTCTTCTCTCAACTCTAGGCATATCCAGTTGCCCAACGACATCTCACTATGTTATCTGGAAGGCAACCTCAAAATGGAACTAATTATTACTCTCCCATTCCAACTCATTACTTCTTCAGTGTTTCCTATTTGATTAGATGGTACTACTAACCACGTAGTTGCCTTAAAATAACACATTTATTCTCAGAATCTGCAGTTCAGATGTCCAAAAGGGGTGTCAACAGGGCTGCACTCCTCCTGGAGGTCCTAGGGAGAATGTTTCTTTGCCTTTTCCAGGCTCTAGCGACTGCCCTCATTCCCTGGCTTGTGGTCGCTTTCCAGTCAGCATTTGTGTGATTCTGACCTTTGCTTCTAATGACACATCTCCTTCTATGACTCAGACTCCTATGCCTTCTTCTTTCACGTTTTTTTTTTTTTTTGAGATGGAGTCTCGCTCTGTCACCCAGGTTAGAATGCAGTGGCATGATCTCGGCTCACTGCAAGCTTCGCCTCCCGGGTTCACACCATTCTCCTGCCTCAGCCTCTGTTGTACCTGGGACTACAGGAGCCCGGCACCATGCCCAGCTAATTTTTTTTTTTTTGTATTTTTTTTAGTAGAGACTGGGTTTCACCACATTAGCCAGGATGGTCTCGATCTCCTGACCTCGTGATCCGCCCGCCTCGGCCTCCCAAAGTGCTGGAATTCCAGGCGTGAGCCACCGCACCCAGCCTTCTTCTTTCACTTTTAAGACTCCATTGTGATTCTACTGGGTCCACCTGGATAAGCCAGGCTAATTTCCCATCTCAAGATCTCCCATCTCAAGATCCTTAATGTAATCACATCTCAAAGTCCATTTTACCACATAGCATGTTCACAGGTTCTGGGGACGAGGAAGAGGACATCTTTGGGGAATCATTATTCTGCCCACTATAGTGATTTTAAACCTTATTTGATCTGAGTTTAAAAAAAAATGTTCTAAGGTATATTCTAAGGTTTTAATTCATTTGCATTAAAATGTTATTTTATTAGAAGGCTATACATCCTTTACCAAAGGATTTGTAAAATGAGGATGTCATTATCACAATTGTCTTTTGACACATGCCTAAAGGTGAATTTAATGTTGTTTATGATCACCCAACTACCAAGAAATACATAAAAGATGTATTACATTCTCTTGTTTGTAAATGAGAAGACTAGTATTCAAATGTTCTCTTTCAGCTTTATAATCCTATGAAAAGGTGGAAGTTCTTGACTCACATTAGACTTGTGTTAAATTTCTAGACCCTTTCGAAGGAAAAATCAGATACTCCCATTTCTGTATAACTGACTTCTCACACCTAAGTAAAACTTCACAGCTTTCCAATTAAGTTTCATTTTCTGGTTTCAGCCCAGTTATATATATCCAATCAAGATAATCTGGAATCTTGACTCCCTTCAATCATAAGTTAGTTATCCATTCCAGCCATGAAAAACTGAAGATTTATCCAGTTCAATGTGAAATTTTGAACAGGAAACAACTAAAGGGCACTCTAGCATAGAGACAGATTGACACAAAAGCATACTCTTTTTGGATATGGTCATCTAGTTACTCACCAGCAAGTACTGAAAGTACTAAAAGTACTGCTGTGGTTTGGATGTGGTTTGTCACCCCACTAAAACTCACATGGAAATTTAATTTCCAATATGGCAGTGTTGGGAAGAGGGGCCTAGTGGGAGGTGTTTGGATCATGGGTGGATCCCTCATGAATAGCTTGGCACCAGTTCTTGCAGTAGTGAGGCAGCTCTTACTCTCAAGAGACTGGATTAAGTTCTCACAGGACTAGTTCCCAAGAGAGCGGGTTGTTACAAAATGAGGTACTTCCTCCTGTTTGGCCACTTCCCACGTATCTGCTTCCCCTTTGACCTTCTCTATCATGTTATGATACAATAAGAAAAGTCCTCACTAGAAGGCAAGCAGATGCCAGCACCATGCTCTTGTACTTCTCAGTCTGCAGAGCTGTGAGCTAAATACATCTCTTTATAGACTATCCAGTTTCAGATACTCTGTTAAAGCAACATAAAAGGGATTAAGACAAGTACTCTCCTGAACACTTTTTTTTTTCCTGACATAGAGTTTCGCTTTGTTGCCCAGGCTAGAGTGCAGTGGCGTGATCTTGGCTCACTGCAACCTCTGCCTTTGGGTTTAAGAGATCCTCCTGCCTCAGCCTCCGAAGTACCTGAGATTATAGGCACATGCCATCATGCCCAGCTACTCTCCTGAACACTTAAAAAATATTTTATTCATAAAGGTATCAGAGGAGAATATTATCCTTACCCATAAGCAAATTATGGATAAAATATTAATATTTTATCCATTAGGATATCAATGATTATGATTTGTAAGATACTACTTTCTCAAAATTGAGATTTTTCTGTCTTGTGCATTACTCAGATATACTAAGCAACTAATCAACAGATTACTTCAATATACTAATCAACTATCAAAAAAGTTGTTCCTAATGAACCATCCTTGATTCTTGTTTCTAATTTGTTGGTCTGATTGGATAGTAATGATTTGTAAGCAACTACTTAAAGGCACCAGAAAGTGTTTTTGGAAGGATTAGAAAATTTTAAAATTGAATCCTTTTCTAACATAAATGACCACTCTTCAGATTTAAATTTTCTATTTTAGTTTTCTCACAGTGATAGACATCTCTTACAAAAGAATGTCAGAACAAGATAATTATGAATTTAGAAACAGTGTTTGAAACAAGCATCAATAATTACACTGTTGATATTCAATCATCAATTCGACAATTTGTATTAAGTGCTTACTATGTACCAGGCATTGTACTAGGTGAACAAAAGATGCAAAGGTTCCTGCATCCATGGAACTTGCATTCCTGTAAAGGTCTGCTGAATTCAACATTTGAGGCTTATGGAAATAATTTTAGAGAACCGTTTAACTTTAAGAGAACTTTAAGAGCTTATGTATATTTTTTTCTTTCCTATGTATGTTTGAATATTTGCAACTGTTCATCGATGTAAAAACACAATCTGCCGGCCAGGCGCAGTGACTCACGCTTGTAATCCCAGCACTTTGGGAGGCCGAGGTGGGTGGATCACTTGAGGCCAAGAGTTTGAGACCAGCCTGGTCAACGTGGCAAAACCCTGTCTCTACTAAAAACACAAAAATTAGCCGGGCGTGGTGATGGGCGCCTGTAGTCCCAGCTACTTGGGAGGCTAAGGCAGGAGAATCGTTTGAACCCTGGGCCAGGGGCGCGGGGGCGCGGCGGAGGTTGCAGTGAGGGGAGATCGCGTCATTGCGGTCCAGCCTGGGCGATGAGAGCGAAACTCCGTCTCAAAACAACCACCACCACCACCACCACCAGCACCACAAAAAACCAATACGTGGTCCTGCATGGAAGAATAATCTTACTCCTGCTCAAAGCCTGCAGAAGAGATTTACTCGGCTCCCATTTTGGATATGCTATTGTTGGATTATCCTTGCACCGCAGTTCCCTCATCTGCATAATGGAGTTATAAAACCAACTTCACAGCACTGTGGATTAAGTAAGAAAACGTATTTGAATGCCCCCAGTAAGGTGCTCAGCACGTAGCTGGCCCTCAATACACACTGGTACAATTCAAACTTTGTGAAATGAGCCGATTCGTGTACCTGGTAAGGACCACGGCAGCAACTCAGTATCACTAAAAGTTAGCTGGTGCCCAATCCATGCCCCTTCCTGCTTCACTCCTCCACACCACGGGAGATTCCTTAGGGCAGAACTTTTATTTCGGCAGAGTGCAGCCAAGGGAAGACAGCATATAAGTAGCTTTTGCCAGGGCGAAGGGGCCAGACCCCGGCCCGGGGATGGGGTGCAAGTATGGACCACACAGGGGCTGGCCTGGTCACTCACGGCTGCGTCAGGCTGTCCCGGTAACGGCTGCGCTGGCAGGGCAGTGCTCGGGGCCGGCTGGTGTAGGTGTAGGTGCTCGGGGCCCGAGAGGTGCCATCAGTCAGCGCCGAAGTCATGTCCGGGGGCAGACTGCCTCGCTTTCTGTGGAGCTTGGCTTTCACGCAGGTAGGCGCTAAGGTGTCGTGGGACCCGGAGAGATGTAAGTAGTGCCAAGGGCAAGGATTCCCCGACGCGAGGAGAAGCGACAACAAGGGAAGCGGGCGGGACGGGAGGTTACCAGCGTAGGAGGTGGGAGCTACACTGGGCTCGCTCCCAGCACCACAGAGACCAGCTGCAGCGGCCGCATCGGTTGCCCAGCAACCCGGGGTTCTGAGCTGGAACTCCCGACACTTCCGGCCCGCGGGTTTCCGGGGAAGGACTGCGGCGCAAGGCTCTTCCGGCTCTTGACTCCGCCCAGCCGCGCCCCCCGGGTAGGTGCGCCTGCGCTTTGGGAGGCTCCTGACTAGGGAGGCGGCCTTGGCTGACTTGACCGTCTTCCTTGAGGCCTGCGGGGTAATGGTGGCTGTCCTGGGCCCCGCTCTGGGATGTGGTTTTGCAGGGCTGGTGTTGGCGCCATTCTCGCCCACGTGCTCCTGCTCTTCCAGGGCGTCCTTGGCTGTTTCTCCTGCCGCGGCGCCGCAGCGCTCCCAGGCCGCCCCCGCGATGACAAACCTCTGGCAGCCAGGCTCCCAGCTCTGTTACGTGCCCGGGGAGGGAAGGGCTTCCTGATGTCTCCCGGCACCTCCACTTCCCCCGCCCCAGGGGCGGGCTGCCGCTGCCCTCTGCAGCTGAGTCCGTGCAGTTCCTCACCTGCCTTGTCTGCTCACCGCTGTGTCCTTAGCAATCGGAGGACCCTTGGCACACGGAGCGACAAGGGCCACCCCAACAGACATCTCATTTTGGGAAAGAAGTGGGCAATTTATTGAGTCTTAAAAAATATAAAGGAATAGTTCCCCTTCATCAGGCTCCCAGCTCTGAAGAATAAATCTAGTATCGCGGGGTGGGGCTGCGCTTAAAAACGCAGACGCTTTGTTTTTAGTATCGGCAACGTTAAAAATCTTGTATCTTGTGTGAGTGAATGTGTATCCCTTGTGATCAGTTATTTGCATTTACAGTTACACCTTCATTCAGCTAATTGCTGTCTTGATTTGAATCCAGATTCTACAATGTACTAGCTCCGAAACCTCAGGCAAGTTAAATGTTTTTGTGCTTCATTTTCCTAATCCACAAAGTGGCAATGGAAGAATTTATCTCTTTAGGTTTTGTCTTGAGGATTAAAACCGTTAATACTTAGAGCTGTGCCTGGTAAATGGTAAGCCTTTATATTAAGATCTGGACCCAGTCTCCACTTTGAAGTCTATGACATAAGGCAGATGTAGGCCATTCCATAGAGGCGAAAACACTCCCAAAAGATTTTAGGTCTGATCATTTAATTTTGAGGTAATTTCTGAAAGGGCTACAGGAGAAAGTGACATTTAAATTGTGTTTGATGAATGATAGTATTTTAACTGGCCAGCCTCTTGGGGGAAGTGCATTCGGAATGGCTTGATCAAAGGCTCAAAAAGTGCAAGATGTATTTGGAAAACTGTAAGCAAGGCTTGTGTAGATGAGTTGTAGAAATATCTAGAGAAGGAAAGGCTGGCACCACATCGTGGAAACCGTAAAAACTAGCGTATTAATTAGAATGTGTTTTTTCCCTTGGCCGGGCGCGGTGGCTCAAGCCTGTAATCCCAGCACTTTGGGAGGCCGAGACGGGCGGATTACGAGGTCAGGAGATCGAGACCATCCTGGCTAACACGGTGAAACGCCGTCTCTACTAAAAATACAAAAAAACTAGCCGGGCGAGGTGGCGGGCGCCTGTAGTCCCAGCTACTCGGGAGGCTGAGGCAGGAGAATGGCGTGAACCCGGGAGGCGGAGCTTGCAGTGAGCCGAGATCCAGCCACTGCACTCCAGCCTGGGCGACAGAGCGAGACTCCGTCTCAAAAAAAAAAAAAAGAATTTTTTTTTCCCTCAAGTAACAAAAAACCAATTCAAAGTGGCTGAAATAATAAGGACTGTCTCCCTCAGGTGACAGTCCTGAATAATAAGGAATTCATTATTTTACACCCCCCAGGTTGGTTAACCTGGAGGTTAACTTGGGGGCTCAGCACATTATCAACACCGCATTTTTTCCCCTGCCTTTCCACTCTGTCCCCTGGGTTGTTGGCTTCAACAAGGTCGTAATAGAAGTATCTTCTCTTTTGTCTTTATTGGAAGAGCAAAACCCCCTCGTGAACTCCCAGCTGACCAGAATTACATCATATTGACTTAAGCTTAGGATCTATATGTAAGACCACCATGTTTGGATTAGACCAGCTAACCAGTCTTTCCGGGCCTCCAAGAAACGCTTGGCCAGGGAGGAGATGAACGAATTCTGTTGGAAGGATGTTGGGGCAGAATAGAATGGGTATTGAGTGGGTAACTGTCAGGCCTCTGAGCTAAAGCTAAGCCATCATATCCCCTGTGACCTGCACCTATATGCCCAGATGGCCTGAAGTAACTGAAGAATCACAAAAGAAGTGCAAATGGCCTGTTCCTTCCTTAACTGATGACATTCCACCACAAAAGAAGTGAAAATGACCGGTCCTTGCCTTAACTGATGACATTTCACCACAAAAGAAGTGAAAATGGCCGGTTCTTGCCTTAACTGATGACATTAACCCTTGTGAAATTCTTTTCCTGGCTCATCCCTGGCTCAAAAAAGCTCCCTCACTGGAGCACCTTGTGACCCCCACTCCTCCCCACCAGAGAAACAACCCCCCTTTGACTGTAATTTTCCTTTACCTACCCAAATCCTATAAAACGGCCCCACCCTATCTCCCTTCACTGATGCTTTTTTTGAACTCAGCCTGCCTGCACCCAGGTGATTAAAAAACTTTATTGCTCACACAAAGCCTATTTGGTGGTCTCTTCACACCGGACATGCATGATAGTAACCAGTAGTGCTATAGCCAGCCACAGTGGGCTTTATAAAGAAATTGATAGCCATTGTAGGTTCTTGTACAAGTTTTTTTTTTTTTTTTTTTTTTGAGATGAGTCTCACTCTGTTGCCAGGCTGCAGTGCAGTGGCGTGATCTCGGCTCACTGCAACCTCCGCCTCCCTGGTTCAAGTGATTCTCCTGCCTCAGCCTCCTGAGTAGTTGGGACTACAGACGCATGCCACCTCGCCCAGCTAACTTTTGTATTTTTTAGTAGAGGTGGGGTTTCACCATGTTGGCCAGGATGATCTTGATCTCTTGACCTCCGTGATCCACCCTCCTCAGCCTCCCAAAGTGTTGGGATTACAGGCGTGAGCCACTGCGCCTGGCCTGTACAAGTTTTTATCCACAACCTGTTTCTCTTCTCCTTTCTCCCAGGGCAGTCCCATTTCACATCTATGATTTCTAGTACCCACCTGTATACCCAGGGCAATAAAGGATGTATTTCTAACCTAGACTTCTCCCTCAGATGACAGTCCTGGATATCTGACTATTTTCTGGACAACTCTTGGATGATCTGAAACTGAATGATTCATTCCACAAATAGTTGTGAGTATCTAGTATGTGCCAAGCACTGTTGTTTTCTTGTCCCTCACCCCCACTCCCCTCGTGTTCATGGGGATATAGCAGTGAGAAACAAACCAAACAACAGATTAAAACTCCTGCCTTGACAGAATTTGTATTCCAGTGGAGGAGTCATACAAACAAGAAAAGTGAGTACATTATGTGTGTTAGATAATTATAATAGCTAAGGCAAAATAAAGCAGGAAAGAAGGCTAGGTGCTGGGGCATGGGAGACCTAGCAATTTTCAGAGCAGGCTTCATTGAAAAGGTGACGTTTGAGTAAAGACATGAAGGAGGTGAAGAAATGAAAATTGATACTAATTGGCACAGCATTCCAGGTCAAGGAAGCAGCCAATTCCTAGTTCTAAGGCAGGAAGCCATGTTGGGGATGGGAGTAAGAGTGAGTGGAGCAGAGCAGCATTCCGGAGATGAAGTCAGAGGCCGGGCTATGCGCCTTGTGTAGGTCAGTGAAAGGACTTTAGGTTTTACTCTAGGGTTAAAAGTCCCTAAAGGGTTTTGCATAGAAGCTTGACATAGTTTGATTAAAAACATTTGTTTTTTCTAGTTGCTTGGTTGAGAATAGACTGAAGTGGGGCGAAGGCAGAAGCAGAGAGACCAGATAGGAAGCTGCTCCCAATAAGGCTGGTGAGAGAGTAGCTTGGATCTGGTGTAGGTGTGGTGCTCGGGCCTGAGAGGTGCGGTCAGTCAGTGCTGAGGCCATGTCCGGGGGGCAGACTGCCTTGCTTTTGGTGGAGCTTGGTTCTGGATCTGGGCCAAAAGTGGTGGGAAGATCCCAGCTCAATTTTGAAGGTAGAACAGATTGGACGTGACGTGGTACATGAGAGAAAGAAACGCATAAGAGATGAACCTAAGGTTTCTGATTAAATGTTGGACATTGTGCAGGAAAAAAATCACATAGAGGCTCTGGCAAAAAAGATAAAAAATAAAATAAAATAAAGAAAGAAATAAATAAAAATTGCATAGAGACTGTGGCTGATGTTGTCTTTTTCTAGAAAGGATTTAATTTTATTCTGGCAAGCAATTAGAGTAGGAACAGATGCCTTTTTTTTTTTTTTTTTTTTTTTTTTTTTTTTTAGGTGGAGTTTTTGCTCCTTGTTGCCCAGGCTGGAGTACAATGGTGCCGTCTTGGCTTACTGCAGCCTCCACTTCTCGGGTTCAAGCAATTCTCCTGTCTCAGCCTCCCAAGTAGCTGGGATTACAGGTGTGCACCACCACACCTGGCCAATTTTGTATTTTTTCAGTAGAGACTGGGTTTCACCATGTTGATCAGGCTGGTCTCGAGCTCCTGACCTCACGTGATCCACCTGCGTCAGCTTCCCCAAAGTGCTGAGATTACAGGCATGAGCCCCTGTGCTCAGCCTCAGATGACCTTTAGTCAGGGGATTCAGACTTTGTGAGGGCTGATCATTTCTGATTTGGTCTTATCCCAGAGCTAGGCCTTTCTGTTTCTTTCTCAACATAAACATCTGCGATATTAACAGGTCCCCATCTTTGGTAACCTTAAACTCCAATTTTTTGTACCCCCAGCTCTGTGAGACTGTTGAAATGTACACTTAGCATTTTAACTATTTAGCAACTGTTTGGTTTCTTGATTTCCGGTGCCTTACAGCTTTAGAATTCAGCAAATACCTCAAGGATAAAGCCAAACAAATAGTCAGACTGGCTTCTTTATGATCCTTCTTTCTTTGAGATCTTGTCCCTCAAGTCCCCGTCAGCAGTTTTCAACTCCAATTTTTTATCTCCCCGTATCTGAAAGGTCCTGATACCTCCAGGTCAGCTGCTTTCTGCTCGCCATATGCCCTGCACAAAACTCAGCAAATGCCCTAATAAGAAAAAGCGATGGAGAAGTTCTGTATCACTTTTTGCATCTCTCTTCTTCCTGGGATCCCAGGCTCTCATGTCTTGACCATCTTGGTTGCTCTCCGGTGCCTTCAAACAGCCTGGTAGTTTTTTGTTATGTGTGCTTTTTAAATGTTCAACTTTTATGCTTATTCCCATGAGAGGACTGGTTTAATTAAGCTATTCGATTGTAGCCAGAGGCCATGATAAGGTTGTTGACTAGAGTACCTAGAAGAATGGAGTTGCCATTTAGTGATA